CGTCCAACGATGACGAATGTTCCAGACGCCGGCTCATCTTTACACGTTAGCAACGTATCGTTATGCGAGGCGCACATTTCACCATGTACATCGTACGCGCTGCCGCCGCAGCAACATATGCGGTCAGCGCCGCCGCCGATATTCTCTTTGTCACCAGGGAAACCGAGTACTCCACTAACACAACAGTATTCATACCAACAGTTTGGTATGCCCGTACAAACAACTTCAACGTTCGCTGCGCAGTCGTRTGCAACAACACAATCAGGTGATTACGCCAGAGCACATCATCTAACGGCGCCGTCTGCGTACATGAACAGAGCAGTGCCGTTGCTGTACCCTCCATGTTTGAGAGCAGAAGAAGCAGCGAGTTCATCGGTGACAAGAGAGAGACGCGTTTATTCACCTAACGAAGTACCATCAGTGTTGCCAGAGTTCGATCCATGCGACAAAATTTATTCATCTGTACAATTCATTGAGAAAGTCGAGCAGCTGAGAAACTTGTATGGTTGGGAGGGAGCGTTGCTGATATTCTCCGTTCTCAGTAAGCTCAAGGGTGTAGCAAAACGGTGGGCTGACGCACAGCCTGTGTTCCRCGAATGGCATGAGTTTGTGAGTATATTCCTAACTGATTTCCCTTATGTACGAAATTCTGCCGACGCTSATATTCGGCTAATGAACGCAACAATAGGAAGAGGGGAAAGTGTTATCGAATTTTATTACAAAATGCTCGCAATGGGTCGTCGCGATGGAATCGATGACTGCTCGATAATTCAATATACGATTAATGGGTTGAGTGATGATAACTTGCGCAAGACATTAAGCGCAAAAATGTGAAGATTTGTTGCAATCAATACTGAATATATCGACCATTAATAAGAGTCGCTATGGTAGGTCAAATGAATTTGTTTCAATGCGGGTTCCACAGCAAATGCCAACTGCTGTGGTTGAATCAAATAGAAATTGTATTGGRCCTGTTTGCTATAATTGTAGGGAAAGGGGGCATATCGCCCGAAATGGCAAGAAACCAAGAAATAAATTTAGTGAAGTGAACCGAACTGAGCATGTAAATCAGATAGTGAGTGACGATTGCATTGAAGTGGCAGAAAATAGTGGTGCATCAGTAAACAAAATTGTTCCTTGTAAAAAATGCACAGAACTCCGTAAGGATGTCATTATCATTGGTCAAAAGCATGTCAGCTGCAGTGCGCTCATTGACTCGGGTAGCGACAGGTCGCTTGTTAAGCGTCCAATCACATGTTTTGAAAAGCTGATTGGTTTTGCGGGAGGTGAGATAGTTTGCAGGGAAAAGGTGTCGGTGAACGTAAAATTTGATAAGGTCACGCGTTTAGTTGACTTATTGGTTATAAATGATGACGTAATGGATTACGATGCCATAATTGGTATTGACATACTGTCAAAGGGAAAGGTGGTAATTGAGGGAGGTACGTGTAGGAGAATGGCAATTGAAAGAAGTGACATCGACGTAGGGAGTAAGTTGCAGTTTAGRGTTGAGCAAGAACTACTTGAGTTGTTAAATACGTACGCACATTGTTTTGGAGAAAGGCTAATGGAGTTAGGGAAATCGAAGCGGTTCAAAATGGATATCCAGGTAACGTCACCGAGGCCGATTTCGAAAAAGCCGTATGGTATCCCCATTCCAAAACAACGTGTAGTASAGKGCATTATTGAAGAGTTGCTACAGCTAGGGATAATTCGCAGGTCTTCCTCATTGTACGCTTCACCAATTGTGTTGGTGCGTAAGCAAAATGGGGAGGACAGATTATGTATCGATTTCCGGGAACTAAATGCGGTAACAGAGAAACAGCCATGGTTGATGCCCACGGTAGATGGAGTTTTAGCCACGTTGTCAGGCAAGAAATATTTCACGACGTTAGACCAGGTAGAACTGAAAGAAAGTGCTAAACCTTTCACAGCGTTTGTGACTCATAATGGCCATTGCGAGTTCAACCGAATGCCGTTTGGGCTTCGGAATGCGCCATGCGTGTTTCAACGAATGATGTCACAATTAATAGAACCGTTGGGGAATAGAGGGGTGTGTTATGTGGATGAGGTTGTTATAGCGACGGATACAAGGGAAGAGAATGTGAGGTATTTAGAGCAATTTTTGCAAACTATTCAAGAGGAAGGGTTAACGTTGAGGCTTTCGAAATATTCATTTCTTCGTTATAGCGGGAATTTGTTAGGCTATGTGATAGACGCAAATGGTTTTCAACCGGGGACTGTGAAAACGGCAGCCATCAGAGGGTATCCGACACCGAGTAGCCAGTTAGATGTTCGATGCTTTTTGGGTTTGACGGGATTTTTCCGCAAATTTGTGCCTGGGTATGCCTTGACCGCCAAACCCCTCACCCAGCTTACGAAGAAGAGTGCAGAATTTTCAGCATCTGGTTCGGTCAGTGACAACTGCGCTAGTCCTCGCCATATACGACGTCTCGAAAAAGCATGAGTTGTACACTGATGCTTCCAGTGTTGGCGTCGCTGCAATTCTTCTTCAGACAGAAGCCAATGCAAGTTTGCAGCCGATCACTTACTACAGCAGGGCGTGTACAGCCCAGGAAGCGAAATATCATGCCTACGAACTAGAGGTGCTTGCTGTTGTGGAAGCGTGCCAGCGTTTTGAATGTTCCGGTTAGGAAAGCGCTTCAATATTGTTACTGAGCAAGCAATAACAACTTCAAAACTATCGAAGCCGATGATACCTAGGGTGGCCAAATAGCTCCATAAGTTACTTGAGTACGATTGCAATATAATACATCGGTCTGGGTCGTCTATGGGTCACGTTGATGCGATGAGTCGGGCACCAATCAAAGTGTCAGAACAAGTAAAAGAAGTCGGGGCCAATATATAGATGTTGTCAGTTGATGATTGGCTGGCTACAGTGCAAATGCAAGACGACAACCTCAAGCATATTATAGGCGTATTGCAAGGGATCGTGCAGTCCGATCAAAAGTCCAATATAAATTCAGAATACACGTTGAAAAATCACAGATTGTTTCGCAAAACCGGGAAGGGAGGAGCTGTTGCTTGTTGTGCCAAAGGGAATGCGTTGGAGAATAGATGTGTCATGACGATGTGGGTCATCCGCGAGTGGATGGGACAGTTAAGAGAATTCTGCAACACTTCTGGTTCCCTCGACTTAGAAACTTTGTAAAATTTTTTGTTAAGTCGTGCATCGATTGCTGTTATAGTCATCACTGAAGCAATGCGAACTTTATGGGATGGATATCCCGCCTCTGCCGTTTGTAACTATACACCTAGATCCTTTAGGTCCGTTTGTCAAGAGTCGACATGGGTATGAATATGTATTAGTCATTGTCAATGCATTGACGAGGTACACAGTAGTCGTGCCGACCCGGTCAACAAAAACGAAACCAGTTATTGATGCCTTGAACCAGCTAACAGTGTATTTTGGCTCTCTGCAACGAAGCGTCACGCATTCACAACCTTTTGTGAAACCTACAGCATGCAACACATTAAAGTGGCCGTGAGAACACCACGGTCAAATGGGTTAGCGGAGCGGATTAACTAAGCGGTGCTGGCTCACTTGAAGACGTCCACAAGTGATCCCAGAGACTGGGATGCGCATATTCGTCAACTACAATGGACAATAAACACAAGGGTTAATACCACTACCAAGTTTGAGCCAATAGATGTGGTGTACGATTTTTCATTGCGCGACCTGAGTAGAAATAGGGTGTTCGCCGCAATGCACGATGATAACGAACAATTTCATATGAATGGTCGACGTTCTGAGGCGATTGAAAATATCAAGAAGGCGCGTCTGAAATGGAAAGCAAAATTCGACGCCAAGTACAGCAAACCAGTTCAATATCAAGAAGGCGAGCTAGTACTACTAGAAGCACCACTACAAAGTACTGGAGAGTCGCGTAAACCACCCAAATACAAGGGGCCCTACGTTGTTAAGAAGGCGTTAAGGTTCGACAGGTACGTGATTGAAGACGTTGATGGGGCGCAATGTACACGAAGACGATACAGTACAATTGCAGCCTCCGACGAAATGAAACCTTTGTGTGCCGTGTTTCCGGAAGTAGACGACAATTATAATTCGGAAGACGAAGTTGACACCCCGAAAACTCGGGACGAGTTTTGTCAGGAGAGGCCGAGTTGTCATCACTATGACGTGTGATCTYTATTTCTTTTACATATACTCATACACTTGTTCATTTTCATCTATGTATTCATTTTCATTCATTTTCCATATTTGTTAATTTTGAGTTCGAGTTTGTATTCAATGCTAATGTAGAGTTAGTTGACAAGAAGTAATAAAACCGAAAGGTCCATTTGACAAGAAGCTGAGTGTCAGTACGAATATACATACACGTAAATATTATAAAAATAATTATAAAAAATAACACACAAGAAATCGCATGCCTGGTAGAATAACATGAATAACAAAGAGAGTTGCAAAAAGTTGCAGCTGAAATCAAAAGCATAGACTTAGAAAACATTAACTAATATACACAAACTAAAGAAAAACATACCACCCAAAAGGGCACTTTTAAACAATTGTTTTAAAATTATTAATATAAGAGACAAGTTTTAAGCTATTTTCACTGCAGAGTTCGCATGCTTCTATTGTCTCACTTCTCTCGCTCTTCGTAGCCCCTACGAATGGGATAGAGCAAAAATGTATTTACCGTTTTAAGAAATAGCTTTGATTCAAACAATGGTAAATTTCGAACTTTTATTTTTTTATTTTTGGCCTATGAAATCGGCCAGTGTGCAATGGACAGACAGACGAAAACGACTAAATCGACTCATCTCGACACGCTTATCATTTACATATACTATACATATATACATTTTATAGGGTCTTCGAAGTACTCGTGGCAAACCTCATACATATACATACTTCATAGAAATAATTCTGAAATTATTATGTAAGAATTTTAACAATTTTATTAAACTTTTTTTAATATAATATTTATGAACAATACACATAAATTTCTTTATTGCAGATGTATTTCCCAATTTTTTCGCTAATGACCATGTCAGAACACATCATAGAAAAATACTTGAAAGATTGAAGTGGTTCAATCGTCGGTGAATAATGTGCAACCGTCAATGTCTCCTTTGTTACGAATCAATGTACCGTGCGAACTGTACAAAACAAGCAGCAAGTTGATGGGCCCTTGGTCTCTAATCGGAGCGCTCATAGTGCTCTCAGCAACAGCTGGGGATTCCACTAGCAAAATTATAGCGCCGCAACAAAGTAGCAGTATTAGCAGCGGCAGCCATGCCGATGACAACGCGGATTACACCACAGCGACCGTAAGTGTTGTCAGCGTAGCTGGTAGTCGTGTTAGCGGAAATGGAGTTGGAGGCGGTACTGTTGTCATTGGCAATGGTGTAATAGTGGCAGGTAGCGCTGGACCTTCGTCTATGTTAAATAGTAAGTAATATTATTTCAGCCTAATTCGTTTTTTTAAGTTTGTATAAGTTTCCAAATAAACTTTCTTATATGATACTTTCGTCCAAAGAGCTACGCTTCAGAAATAGCTAATTTCATATGTACGTACTTACATATGTTTGTATATAACTTTACATATGAACGAGTGAATATCTGGATGCTCTACTTAATTTTTTTTTTGTGCGTTAAAGATTAGTATATTTTCGTTAAAATTTTTGATTACATTCCTAATCGCATGAGTTGTTTACATTTACATACATATGTTTGTATGTATTTGTGTATAATAGAGAAACGGTTGGTGTATTACAATAATGTTCGCAGCTGTTTCGCGTGTTTATAATCTTGCAACCAGTTGCTAAAGAGTATTATAGCTTTGTTCACCTAACGGTAGTACGTATCACCTAAAACTAAGCGAGATAGATAGAGGATTATATATATACATATATAAATGATCAGGATGACGAGAAAAGTTGAAGTCCGGTGGACTGTCTGTCCGTCCGTCCGTCCGTGCAAGCTGTAACTTGAGTAAAAATTTAAATATCTCGATAAAGCTTGGTATGTAGGTTGCTTAGTAAAGAAAAATTCGAGTTCGTAGATGGACGAAATTTGATATTATTTCAATGAAAATTTCAGAACGTATTTGACTCAWAACAGTATATCATTGTGCCTGAAATGAATACAATTGGGCGAAAACTTCACCTAGCCCATATATGGCCATTACCAGAATTTTTTAACATCCGGCTGATTTTGTATAATGACTACATATAATGATTTTGGTTTTTCTAACTAATCTTATTCCGAATATATACGAAGGTCATCCGATCGAAGGATTCCGATCGTCTGATTGACGTTTTACATCGTAAGGTTCCTGGCTTTGATTCCAGGAAGTTGCAATAGTATGAAATGTTCGGTTGCACCCGAACTTTGGCCTTTCTTACTTGTTTGTATTCTGCTTTTAATATAGTTTTTAACTCATTTTCCTTTTTCCATATGTTCAACAAAAATGAGTTGTTGTGCCGGTTAGTGCAGTTTGCATAGTCTGGTAGTGTTTATTTTTACAGTCACTGTATTTCCATCAGCACACATTATTTACGCACTATAAGGCCAAAGCTGGTGTGAAATGAAATGTGCGTAAAATGGATTCCTATCCAGTAAAATATATGAGAATAAGAACTACGAGTTAATAAAATAATTGAAAACAATTATTTGTATAAAAAAATCAACAGCGAAAAACTGTAAGTGTTAACAAAGTCTCATGTTCATTTTACCATTATAGGCCATTTTGGACTACTAATATATTTTCTTTGTAGCAACATCTTTTGAATCAGCTTTTCTTTGCCTATTATTTTATCGCATAATTTTTACTTTGATTTCACAAATAAAAAATACACCTTCAATGTTTCGAAAAGAAATGACAATTTGTTAAATATTTCGTAACAATTGATATACTAAGGCTGAGTTAAAAAAATTTGTTGAGAAAATTTTGACAACACAAGAAACATCAAATTTTAAGATAAAGATTCTTCGGTATGTGAACTAGTCCAAAAATTGGGATTTAAGATATTTAATTCTACACATAATAGTTTTAGAATAACCACTTTGATTCTTACAAATTGTGAAATGATAAATTCGACTGCTCCCTTAATGACAAAGTAAATATGCGAAATAAAGCAGTAACCATCGGAAAAGTGTATCCTATTTATTAGTGAGACCGTACAGCAAGCGACTTTCACGCCACTATTATATCCATGTCCGAATTAGGAGAATGACGGTATGCACATCAATTTTATTGTACAGGCTCTAACTGTGCCTTATTATTTTTCCTTCATCGTACAATCCACGCATACCTCGCATTAATATACTTACATACAAGTAGTTGTAGTTTTTTATAGAATAGTATTTTTTCTGTAGCTCGGTAAATGTTTAAGTGCAATACATTCAAGTTCTGAATCATTCTATTCTCTCCAACCACAAGGTCATATGTTTTTGGCCATTCAACTGATTACCCGTGAAAATAGAAATAGAATAGAATAGCTTCAGTGATGAGTAGATGCGGATGCGGAGGCAAGAATTTAAAATGAAACTTGATACTTATTGTTGTTTTAACTCACTGTTTTAATTAGTTTCACTGCATTGTTGTTCTTATAGCCTGCTCCTGATAATGTACAAATAACTGTAGCAACGAACGATATTGGTCCACATAGCCCTACGTACTTTTAACGAAGTTTACCTTTGTTTGTATGTGATTAATATATGTACAATGCACATGAATGTGGTTGTTAATCGCAAACAGCAAAACAATAACAGTTAGTCCAAAATAAATTGTAATCAAGTTAAGGAAATTCAACTATGCATTGTTTTCGCAAGTACATTTTAATTCTATTTGAACATAGCGATAAATGCAATAATTTATGTATTTAAGCACACATATGTGACCTGGTCTACGGAAATGGGGCTTAGGTGTCAAAAAATCAATTTTCACTTTTTAGTTGATTCGGATGGAAGATGATATGTTTTTCACCTGATAGAATCCAAAAAGTCATAACTTGTTTGAAAGTTCCCTAAAAATGTAGAGAAAGAAGAGTAAAAATACGAAAAAATATAATTTTTTTGTAATGAACAAAATACATCGAATTATAAGCTATAAAGACATGATTATACACTAGAAAAACGTATTATGGGTCAAAAATAATAATGCTGAGGAGTTTATGAATTTTTCTTTGTTGTCGTTTTCCTTGAGATCTTTTTACGTGTTGATCCTGAGGAAGATGGACCTGGTTCCTCGTCTGGTTTGAGAACATCTTCACTAGTTTTTGCCTTCCGTATCATCGGTGGCAAATCTTTCGGCAATGGAGCCACAATATCTACTTTAGATATATCCGAAACAAAGCTGCGAAGATTGTGATAGATGTACCACTGACGTTCCAAAGATAAACCGGCTGGTTGTATAACTTTCGGCATTTCAGGATCGATAGGTTTTAACAGAAGCTTAAAGGACTGCACTTCTTCACTGTCTTCGAATTTCTTTGTTTTTACACAATCTGTAGAGATTATGAAATGATGGAATTGCGTTATTCCAACAAGTGACTTGTACAGAGGTTTAAAATAGCTATCCCATTCATACCAGACGACTTTTTCAGGCGATACAGCTTTATGATAACCCCCAGGTGATGATGCCTCGACACACTACAGTAAACCTGCATACGTGTCGATGTTACTGACAGCATACTTGCTTTTGACAATACCGAAGTAACGATCAGGCGCGAACTTAGTGTGCCCTGTAAGTAGAAAATTGAATAAAATAGTTTTGTTAAGATCCCGAGCCAAACGCCGTTGCACATATGATAGCACAGTGTTATTCTTATTCTGCCCAACACAATTCTCACAGAAAAGAACGAGTGTTTCAATGTCTTTATAGTAGGTTTCCAGGTGATAATGCAGGATGCTCACAACACAGTTCGGTCCTTTACCAACGTCATCTTTTTCGTCTAGCATGTAATTGTACTGTAAAAAAAAAATTTCAAGTAGGATCCTGTAAAGGCGAGAAATTTGAGTTCGTATGATTCAATTCTAATGTTTTTCATCTGTAATTCCGAAGACTCCCCACCTCTTGGTTGCTTTGAAGTATGCTGTACCAGGTTGTTGTGGACTGACAGGGTAGTGAACGGTTTGGCCAAAATCAAATGACAGAACGACTGCCGTAGGGTCAGTATTTCTACACCAACTTTGATAATACTCTCGTTGATTTCGGGCTCGGTGGAGGTGATCAAGAAATTGATTAAGCTTCTATTCGCGTTCAATGTCAGTAACACCTTTGGCTTGCGCAATCGATATTGCGTTTCCTATTAAAAGAAAAAATACTGAATTTAATCTCAACGTTTGATACAACTATAAAGTGAGCAAATAATGAGCTACTTACCACGGCAGACATCGCAAAGATCACCCGCTGGTTTCATAACTGTAATGTAGGGTATGTATTTRGACCATATCCGTCGAAAACTGCGATTACTCATCTTCAATTCGTCATCACTGAGTGAAGAAATGTATTTTCGATAAATTGAGGACTTCGTCTCGCTGGATGGCGGTTTCATTATCCGAAAATCCTTAAATTTTGGGAGTCGTCCGGGCAGCGGAAGAGCCATTAAATCGGCTAAATGACTTTGAACGTGTACTCGGTTTATTTGCCAGTCCGTGTTGGCGCACTGTTACACCCTGTGCGGCAAAATGACGTACTAAATGTTCGTAACGCTTCTTCCCACACGCATGTACAAAAAGGAAAAACGAACGACAAACAGGTACTCTGTAGAACGTAAATGTAATTTTATGCCCCATAACTTCTATATCCAGTCCATATTTCTTCCGTCCAGCAAGCTTTGCGTATACACTTTCTAGCTTTCCGTTACTCATAATTCCAGCTTCGATGTGACTTAGTATCACCAAATTAAGTTCATTTTTCGACATCTCTAAACAATTGTTCCGCGTACTCTCGATCATTTCCCGTGGTATCAGTGTATGACATTTATTATTACGACAATCTTTTGACAGAAATTCTGTTACCAGCTCCTTCTCCTTTACTTCAACAACAGACAGGTCAATCTTAACAAAAGTTTGTTCGGTATCATCTTCTGCCTGAGATACATATACTTCGTCTTCATCATAATCGCTCTCTTCATTGTTTTCATCAGGAATAAAGGGATGTTTAACTTATTCCAGTGTGAGAGCGCCTCAAAATTAGCGTTTTTTATGACATTTTTCATTGTAGCCAGATCAGAAAAAAAGCTATTTTTTGGGCATTTTAAATAAAATACCCAATTCGCATTTTCCACACCACCTATGAGGTATGCAAAAGGGTGCGTTACCGAAGTTATTTTTGGGTGCTCGGTTCCCCAGTAGGCCTATATCACCCATTAAAAATTTATTTACATAAAAAAATGAAAAAAAAAACAAAACGATAACAATTTATATTTTATAACAAAAAACAA